ATGTCTTGCGGGAGGGGGGGCGACGGGGGCGCAGGGGCCGTCGCGGGTATTAGTAAGCGCGCGTAGTGTCTTTCGACGACGATGTTGGCCGGGGCGGTGGAGGGGGTGGTTGCAGCGCGTCGGGGCGCAACGGGTGGCCTGTTGCTGGACCGTTCGAAGGGTGCGCGACCTTGGAGATAAGTCCTCGAAAACCCTACATGCGGGGATTGTGCAGTGCTCGGCCCTTTCCGTTGCGACGCTATCTTTAAGTAGGGAGGCGCGACTACAGTACTACAATAGGGGACATGTCCGAGCAGACATGTTCAGTTCGGTTGGATAGTGAGAACGACGGGACGTATAAAGGAGCACCGTAGGCGCAGTGGTGGCGGTTATGCCAGCGACGAATAGCACAGTACATACAGTATATCATATATCAAGGAGATACAGTAACTACTGTGTTCGGAGATTTCTGGACGAGGTTTGGCTGTGAGTGGGAAGGCGCGAGATAGTCATTGCGAGATAGTCATTGCTGTTGAACTGTTGGTCGGGAAGGATGGCGGCAGAGAGAAAAGCGGTTTTGCTTTGTGGATGGAAACAGAGACTGCTGGGGGGGAAGGGGGAAAGGGGGGGCGAGAAGAAGTGGCATTGATCAGAGCAGGTGACGCCTTGCGATGGTGCTCCCATCAGCATGGCAATGAGACAAGTCTTGCGAGGGGTACTGGGCATGAGAATGTGCTCAGACCGCATTGCCAGAGGCGACTTCATAGTGACGTGGAAGCACCATCCCATGTTCCACGCCACTTCCGGACAAGTACCCAGCCGCTCCTCACCTATCCCCGTTCTGTAATGCACTGCTTACACTGCCGAATCTTGTCACTCGCGGGTTGGCTACAACTAAACACCCGCTTGCCCGATTGGGCGACCATGTATGCACGTTGGGACCTTCAGACGCCGCTTTGCGCATCCGCTCCTGGAATCTCCGCTCAACTCTTTTCAAATCCCCTCTTCCCCCTCCTCTAAGATACTGTGTAGAGGCCTCTTGCCACAATCAA